TGACAGAAGGGGGAAAAAGCGAAAGAAGGCAGGCAGCGGCGAGGAAGAGGCGGCGGCGGGAAGGGGGACGGCTACAGCGGCGGCGGCGGCAGCAGCAGACGAAAGGATGGACGCCGAAGAGGGGACCGCTGGAGGAGGACGAGGCGGCGGGGGTACCTTCCGTGGGGGGTCCCGAGGCAAGAGAGCATAAAGAAAGAGGGATCGAGGCAGGAGAGAATGAATGCAGCGGGAGGAGGGGGCGAGGGGAGAAGCCGGGAAAGCCGCCTCGGCGGACGGAGGGGAGCGACAGAAGCCGGCGCCCAGCTAGCAAAGCTGCCGGCAGGCGGGAAGCACCGGCGGGCGAGGAAGGGGGCGATCGCAGGTGGTCCGAAAGGCGGCAAAAGCGACGCAGTTGCAAGGGGAAGGGGAGGGAGAGAGAAACGCAGGAGGAAGAGGAGAAGCTGGGGGGAAGAGGGGGTAAACCGGAGAGAAAATCCAACAAGCCTCCAAAAATCGCAGCGGGGGAGAAAAGCCGTCTGGGGAAACCGCGCGCACACACACAACACAGCACAGCACAACACACACACAAAGGGAGAAGAAAACAAGAAAGAAAAAGCGCCGCAAAGGAAGACAAAAAGACCAGGGGGTGGAAATGCCCAGGTCGCTACGAGCCCGAGAGCGCCCCGTTTCTTGAAAGGATCCCACCGTTGGAGGAGGGGAAGAAGTAGGGGGAGGCTCGGCTCGGCTCAGCTAATGGCCGTAGAAGTGAGCGAGATGAAGCTGAGCCGCAGTGGGGAGGGACAGGATGGCAGCTGCCGCCGCTACCGAGCTTGTCCTGGGGGCTTCGATCGGGCACCGGTGCCGCAGTCGGCTGCCGAGAGGCGGCTGGGTTGTCTGTGAGTCGGTTCCCCCGCTTTTTCGCGCACACGTACGCACACACACACGCGTGCTCACGGACCTACACACATACACACACACACAGACCCACACAACCAGTATGGAAAGCACAGGGCTCCCCCGCTACCGGATCCCGCTGGATCACGGGATCCGCTTGGCTGGGAACTGACGAGGGGCGCGAGGAGAATTCACAATCACCCCCAGCTCAGCAGCACCCAGCCCGGCTCACTGCAGCTGGCCGTGATGTCAGAGGCACCATTCTTAAAGGGACCGACAGACCGGCTGGCGCTCGCAGGTTTGCCCGCTCAGCCGGTGTCTGACTCGGTGTGTGCGTGTGCGCGGACTCACACTCGCGCGCGCGCGTGGAATTGGGGCGTTGGGAAGGGATCTAAAACGGGAGGGAAACGCAGACGACAGAGCGGCGTGCTGAAGGGAAAGAGATGAGAGCGGAGGTCCCAAACTGAGAGAATCTCACCGGGTTTTGCCCAGCGACTTTCACGCTCGTTTAATGTACGCGTGTCTGTTCAGCTGGGTGGTCCAAGAACTACTGCCGCGGAAATGTAAACGTCCGGGGATTCTAAATTATGCATATTATAGACTTCGTGCCTGTGTGTGTTTGTGTCTTAGCTTCCCAGCCATCCTGAAGTTTTGAAGTTAAGTCGGCTACGGCTTCCCAGAACCCACATCACAAGCTCAGGTGCGCGCGTGCGTATGCACCCTTGGATGGATAGACAGACAATTGAAGCAAGAGAACGATTTCGGTCAGAGAATCTTTCAAACACTCGAAAAAGGCAGCCTTAACCAGCAAACAATTTATAAAAGATCAAAAGCTGGACTGAACGTTTAGCTAAGTCTAATAACCTTTGAGAGAGGAAATTCTGTCTCCTGGCTCCCTCGGTCTGATCTCTTTTGGGGAAAATACTGGTATTTAAAGGAGCTGGGTGGCTTTTAAGATCCCTCTTTCTTCTTCCTATGTCATGTAAGAGAAACAATGGAGAGTGCCCTCAAATTTCGCTTTATCTGTGCCTTTACTCTGTTGTTTCATTCACACAATTTTTGAGGGAGCCCCAGATATTGTTGTTTACCATTCTCCCTCCTCTCTCAGGGGGGGGGGGAGATTGTCCTATTTATTAGAGTTGAAACTCTAGAAAGAGTGCAGAGAAAAGCAACAAAGATGATTAGAGAGCTGGAGTCTAAAACATATCATGAATGTTTGCAGGAACTGGGTGTGTCTAGTCTAGGGGTGACTTGATAGCAGCCTTCCAATATTTAAGGGGTTGTCACACAGAATAGCAGTAGACTTATATACCGCTTCATAGGCCTTCCAGGCCTCTCTAAGCGGTTTACAGAGAGTCAGCATATTGC